GGAATTATGGTATCGGAGTTCAGAGTGTCTATTCTAATTGTTACCCTCCAGTCAGCATACAGTTTACCCTCCTGGGATCCCAGACCTAGTGCTAACCGGGGTACAACGTGCAAGTTCATGCAATTAACTCCCAAGCCCGCACAAATGGGTTCCAGAAAAATGCTTTACCTTTTTTTAGAGCTGGGGATGAAGGCAACCTCCAAGCTGCATCCAACCCGGACGATGAGAGAGACAGCTTCTCATCAGTAGTAACAGTGCGACTGACATCTGCAGAGTAGAGAGGCTGACGGTGCCGGCGTCATTGTGACATGCAAGAGGTGATCAGTCATGTGATAGCTGGCGTTGAGAGCATCGGTATTGGCGTGATATGGTCACACAGCTGTTGTGATTCGATAGTCAATGCCGGTAGTAGCAATTTACAGTAGCTATTTAGTGTTTGCAGTTTTGGTAGTATCACGTTTGGCTGATGCGGCCAGTAGCAAAGAATCCGGCATAGGTGATAGCGAAGTGGTCAGCATGTATCGCATCAAGGCGGCCGGCATCGATAGCAGCGTTATGGCCGGAAACTGGCATCGGTAGTAGCGAGGTGGCCGGCACCGGTAGTAGCGAGGTGGCCGGCATCGGTAGTAGCGAGGTGGCCGGCATCGGTAGTAGCGAGGTGGCCGGCATCGGTAGTAGCGAGGTGGCCGGCATCAGTAGTACTGAGATGGCTTGCATCGGTAGTAGCGAGGTGGCCGACATCAGTAGTACTGAGATGGCTTGCATCGGTAGTAGCGAGGTGGCCGACATCAGTAGTACTGAGATGGCTTGCATCGGTAGTAGCGAGGTGGCCGACATCAGTAGTACTGAGATGGCTTGCATCGGTAGTAGTGATTGAAATGATGGTGGTTGTAATGATTTACCTGGGCAGGTATGGAGCAAACAGTAATGATTAGCACCAGGTACACGACAATTATGGTGATCACAGTTTTCAAACAGATAAGAAATTTCTGGCAAGCACAGTAGAAGAGTAAGCGGCATGGTCTGAGATGTGGCCAAGGCATGTACCTCCCGTTGTACATGCAATCATCAGCCACAAACAAGTTGCAAAGCAGTCCAAACATTCACCGGCTACGGACAGATGCATCAAACTGGTGCACATGTCGTGAATACAAAGGGATAAAGAATGACTGTGCAGCAACAAACAGCTGGAAAATGACTGCAATTGCCATTGATTGCTCCATTTCAGAATTCATCCATTTTTGTATTAGCCACACATTCACCGACCCAACACACCTGCCAGTAGCAAGCAACCGCATGTAAACTCTGCTACTCATCAGTAACCTCAACACTCCACGTACAACTGAGCAACATATCCAAACCACATACTCTGGCCATGTCCCTATCACCTACTCTGCAAGTCAGAAATGAATAATTGCTGCATGCAGAAATCAGATTGTGTAACGTACCAAACAAATGGCTTATACTTAGCCATGCTGTGAAGAATCTTGGTCCATTGGCCTTGCAAGTCTAGCGGAGGAAAAATAGACAGCTTCACACAATGGATTAGAAGCATACACCCATGTGACAGCAGCCATCGCCGGCTATTGTCACATGGGGAACTAGCAAGCCAAAACAGCAGAATGCATACCCTACCAATGTCTACATACGTACCACCCAAATATACGTTACCAGGGAGATGGGCATCAGCGAGGCTGCCGTGGTGTCCGTGGAGTGCTTGAACCTACCTGAGAGGGAATGAATGAGCATGACACAATTGATTGGTTACATACACCCACACAACAGCAGCCTGTGACAGCCACTGTTGTATGGGGATAGTACAAGTAACGGACACGGTTACTAAACAACATGGTGTTGTACAATACACCAGGCATGCAGTACATAACTACATATTTACCAATGGTAGGCCCGATGACTTGACGCCGTAGCGCTGGTTGGATGTAGAAGAGATGACCTACAGGGCTCTTACTTTGCCCTGATCTATGCCTAACTAAGAATGTGGATATATTAGAATTTGAGTGAGAGAAATGCAATAATGTGAAAATATGAATATAGTGTGGCATGAGGGTCGAATATTGTTTAGTGTTTGTTGTGGTTGATAGTCTGGTCAGCTCCAGCCACCAGTTGCCGCCTCTGCTTGGCTGGTCGCACTAATCATCGGCCGAGTGTGTGCTGCTCCACCTCGCTCCCCGCTGGCCACATTGTGTAGTACTCGCTGAGTGTGTAGTTGTGTACTGATCCCTGAGGTGTGTGTGGGAACAGACATGCAGGCGTGGAAATAGTAAGAACGATGTGGCTGTATAATAATGCTACATGCAACAGTACAATTCAATTCATCCACAAACAAATGAATTCATGAATAATTCTACCAAACGTGATCAGTGAATGTGCAAGATAGGTAATACAGTTCTATTAGGGCAGGAATATGGATACTGCAGACAACTACAGGCTATATAGGGCGTGTGTTGTGATGGCATACATACAGGAAATACCTTGAATGCTATAAATAGCAAAATCAATGATCGATAGCCAACATGTTTTGTCGTAAGGCTTTGTGGCCTTTTGCCGTACTATCTTGACCAGCGGTCTTCCGCAATACAGGCCAGGAAGGTGTTGAATAGAGGCAACTTGAATCGCACAAGATTTTCGATTTATTCACAGACTTACAGATTCCTTTTCCTGCAACCCCATTTTTGAGGCAAAGTTTGATCGAAGGCAGTCATGGAGTCGCCAGCAGCACCCCACCCCCTTTACCCTTTCGTAATGGTTGAAACCAGGGGAAATGGAACGGAACACCTGTCATTTTGTGGCAGCTACATTGCAGCAAGAGTCTTGCCGCAATGAAGTGCCCCCCCCCCCCAAAAAAAAAGGTTTTCCAGGAGCAAAATATATCATAAGGGGAAGCATGGATGGCAGATGGCAAGCCTGGAGCAAACACACACACACACACGCACATACACGATAGGGAGACGCAACACACACACACACACACATAATACTGTGCGCAGTTTGGAGCAAGTAACGATATTCTCAAAGAAATCGTAAAAGTTACCATCACAATAATTGTTATGATTGCCAGTCATGCTCACTCGTTCAAAGCTATGCACGGCAAATCCTATCTATTGTCTCGTTCTCATACTGGTAGAAACCATGGAAACAACTGCACACACTTCACTGTAGGACTCGTGTAGCTCTTCTTGTTCACATTCAATGGAGGTTGGATAAAATCAGATAAAGGAGCAGGGTTTTTATTGTCGATATGATCCAACCGTAGTTGTCAGTCCAAAACCTAACATTTTGAAAGTGCTTTCCAGCTTAATAAGCTTGGCTCTAATTGGACAGATTTCCAAAGCTCCAAAGGTCTTCAACTACTGTCGTGGACATGGAAATCCGGTCGGAGGCCAAGTGGCCCAGGGCCATGCTGGCCACGCAGCCGTGAGTACGAATACGATCAACACGTGCACTGTGCATGCGACGTTCTGTACTGACACTGAGGGCCATGCTGGCCATGCAGCCGTGAGTACGAATACGATCAACACGTGCACTGTGCATGCAACGTTCTGTACTGACACTGAGGGCCATGCTGGCCATGCAGCCGCGAGTACGAATACGATCAACACGTGCACTGCATGCAATGTTCTGTACTGACACTGAGGGCCATGCTGGCCATGCAGCCGTGAGTACGAATCCGATCAACACGTGTGATCAACACGTGCACTGCATGCAACGTTCTGTACTGACACTGAGGGCCATGCTGGCCATGCAGCCGTGAGTACGAATACGATCAACACGCGCACTGTGCATGCAACGTTCTGTACGTACTGAGGGCGCTGCCGGGCCCCGTGTCGTTCGACCGGATTTCCATGTTCACAGCAGTACGCGGATGATAGAATATACAATAACCTACAGTTGCGAGTTTTGAAGGAGCCGAAATTGATAATTATCACAACAGGGGAACAGATCCTATTTCCCACTCTCCACAGGTTGTCCCCGACAAACTAGACTGGGCACACACAAGAAACAGTGACACAGACCAACATGGTCCTTTGGGAAACCTATTAGAAGAGCTATAGTGCAGCACCTTGCTTATTTTTGCTCATTCGCAGTAGTTGCACTTAAAACCGAAGACATTAGGACACGATTTACGACTCCTGGGTCAAATTAAATGCACTCCATTGAATGCACTCCACCAATAGCAAAGTACGATATGGAGGGCACTAGCTAGGCCTCATGTCGCGTGCATATGTGGTTTTCTGTAACAGGAGTGGGTCCCCATCCAAGAGGGCCCGGACCAGTCACTGTCGGAGGAGGTGTCCCCTTACCGTGAAGGGAAACCACCACAAAGCGTGTACTCATGTATGGAGCCATAAACCTGGATTCAAGTGGATCCAGAAGCCAGCGTTATCACGCCTCCAATGTTGTTGTGGTGCAGCACTTTCAAACCATATTTGTAAGCTGTTACAGTAGTCGCACAAGTTTCCAGAAGTCACCTTGCCCGCAGTTTCAAATTTCCCATTCGGCATCGGTAACCACCGTTTCTCATCAGACAGCTTAGTTATAAATTACGATCAATGTGAGCATGTTTACCTGCGAGAAAGAAGGTGGGCAGCAGCCACGTTTTTGATGAAGAAGCCTTGCTCCAGTGTACTTCTCAATGAGAACCGTTCCTAACTCGTAGCCTGTGCTTGTCCAGGTTTACTGGTGAACAGACTGACTAGCGGTGGACACTGCCATGGGTGTTCTCCAGTTGCTGGCGCATAGTGGAGAATGCATGTTGCCCGGACATCTGGGTGAACATTGCTCAGTGGTTGCAAAACACAACAAAACAAAAGCAAACAAGTCGATGTGTACGGTCTCCTATCGGTGTACCGTATAACCATAGTCAACCACAAGTGAATAGGAGAAGCATGGCGGCAGCCATGTGCTCTAGGACTCAGGCACATACGCAATATTGAATATCCTATCGGGTCTCGACAGTATTGCCCTCGCTGCCTGCGTACCGGGGATATCGCCGTAGAATGACTTGTTATGCTCATCCCGGAGAGACGCGTCCTGACGTGACACATCAACGAACTCAATGCTACGTCGTTTACTTGCCATTCTGGCTGCCTAGGATCAATCGATCTAACCTGCAAACAACCTATTCAAGATTGACCCGTCTTTGACTTCACTGCCTTCACGATTGATCGCGGTCGCGTTTTCTTTGAATACCAGTAACTTTGACGCCACATTCTGATGAAAGTTGAAATCAGGTCCCAAGATACCTTTTCAGTCGATGGCTCATATACAGCATGTTAAAGGGGAAGTTAAGGCAAAAATCAAAATGTCACCAGTTGTAGTCTTCGGGGTGCTGAGTCGAATGGTCTTGGTCCGAGAAAGCTGAGACGCTCCCTTCCTACTTGAATCCCAATCGAACTCGCGCACTTCCACCGAAACTGGGTGACTGCGCCCTACTACATGGGGATTTGTATGCAAAATGTCACTAAAAGCGCCATTTCGTTCTTATAAAAGCACGGATGACTGCAATTGGCCCATATGTTGTAGTCTTTTGGACGCTGAGTCGACTGGTTTTGGTCCGAAAAGGCTGCGATGCAGCATTCCTCCTTTATTCCAAATCGAACATGGTTGAACAAGTGGTCACGTGCTCCTGCGTACACCAGTCACCTGGTCACCGTGCCTGCAGGGTACAACTTACTAGCCTGTTTGACCTTTTTTGGGTGCAGTCCTGTCACTCGAGTTGAACCTTGGTGTGAAAGTTGTCGCCTACTGGCGTGGTGACCAGGTGATTTGGGCACCCAGGAGCACGTGAGCGCTTGTTCAACCACGTTCGATTGGGAATAAGGGCCGAACGCTGCATCGCAGCCTTTTCAGACCAAAACCGACTCAGCGTCCAAAAGACTACAACATATGGGCCAATCGCGGTCATCCGTGCTTTTATAAGAACGAAATGGCGCTTTTAGTGACATTTTGCATACAAATCCCCATGTAGTAGGGTGCAGTCACCCAGTTTCGGTGGAAGTGCGCGAGTTCGATTGGGATTCAAGTAGGAAGGGAGCGTCTCAGCTTTCTCGGACCACGACCATTCGACTCAGCACCCCGAAGACTACAACTGGTGAAATTTTGATTTTTGCCTTAAAGGGGAAGTTAAGGCAAAAATTAAAATTTCACCAGTTGTAGTCTTCGGGGTGCTGAGTCGAATGGTCGTGGTCCGAGGAAGCTGAGACGCTCCCTTCCTACTTGAATCCCAATCGAACTCGCGCACTTCCACCGAAACTGGGTGACTGCGCCCTACTAGATAGGGATTTGTATGCAAAATGTCACTAAAAGCGCCATTTCGTTCTTATAAAAGCATGGATGACCGCGATTGGCCCATATGTTGTAGTCTTTTGGACGCTGAGTCGATTGGTTTTGGTCCGAAAAGGCTGCGATGCAGCGTTCCTCCTTTATTCCCAATCGAACATGGTTGAACAAGCGGTCACGTGCTCCTGCGTACGCCAGTCACCTGGTCACCGTGCCTGCAGGGTACAACTTACTAGCCTGTTTGACCTTTTTTGGGTGCAATCCTGTCACTCGAGTTGAACTCGAGTTGAACCTTGGTGTGAAAGTTGTCGCCTACTGGCGTGGTGACCAGGTGATTTGGGCACCCAGGAGCACGTGACCGCTTGTTCAACCATGTTCGATTGGGAATAAAGGAGGAACGCTGCAGCGCAGCTTTTTCGGACCAAAACCAGTCGACTCAGCGTCCAAAAACTACAACATATGGGCCAATCGCGGTCATCCGTGCTTTTATAAGAACGAAATGGCGCTTTTAGTGACATTTTGCATACAAATCCCCATCTAGTAGGGCGCAGTCACCCAGTTTCGGTGGAAGTGCGCGAGTTCGATTGGGATTCAAGTAGGAAGGGAGTGTCTCAGCTTCCTCGGACCAAGACCATTCGACTCAGCACCCCGAAGACTACAACTGGTGAAATTTTAATTTTTGCCTTAACTTACCCTTTAACTTCCTCTTTAAAAGGCAGCTCCTTCCCCATTTCCCCTTTCAAAACCTGATTTTCCATAGTTGGTGACCAGTTTAATGGATACCAGGCACAGATGTCAAACTAGACCTCCCCTAAATGAACCAGTTATTTACAGCAGGGTTCTAGCCAAAGGAGGGTAGCTCACTCCGAGTTGTGGCGGAGGGGTACTAAACTTAAAGGGGAAGTATACCCTAAAATCAAATTTTCACCAGTTGTAGTCTTCGGGGTGCTGAGTCGAATGGTCTTGGTCCGAGGAAGCTGCGACGCTCCCTTCCTACTTGAATCCCAATCAAACTCGCGCACTTCCACCGAAACTGGGTGACTGCGCCCTACTAGATGGGGATTTGTATGCAAAATGTCACTAAAAGCGCCATTTCGTTCTTATAAAAGCACGGATGACCGCGATTGGCCCATATGCTGTAGTCTTTTGGACGCTGAGTCGACTGGTTTTGGTCCGAAAAGGCTGCGATGCAGCGTTCCGCCTTTATTCCCAATCGAACATGGTTGAACAAGCAGTCACGTGCTTCTGGGTGCCCAAATCACCTGGTCACCACGCCAGCAGGCGCCAAATTTCACACCAAGGTTCAACTCGAGTGACAGGAGTGCACCCAAAAAAGGTCAAACAGGCTAGTAAGTTGTACCCTGCAGGCACGGTGACCAGGTGACTGGTGTACGCAGAAGCACGTGACCGCTTGTTCAACCATGTTCGATTGGGAATAAAGGAGGAACGCTACATCGCAGCCTTTTCGGACCAAAACCAGTCGACTCAGCGTCCAAAAGACTACAACATATGGGCCAATCGCGGTCATCCGTGCTTTTATAAGAACGAAATGGCGCTTTTAGTGACATTTTGCATACAAATCCCCATCTAGTAGGGCGCAGTCACCCAGTTTCGGTGGAAGTGCGCGAGTTCGATTGGGATTCAAGTAGGAAGGGAGCGTCTCAGCTTCCTCGGACCAAGACCATTCGACTCAGCACCCCGAAGACTACAACTGGTGAAAATTTGATTTTAGGGTATACTTCCCCTTTAATGCTAGGAAATGAACTGGGCTAACATTACTCTGCTGCACATCAGCCAAAACCGGTGTCAAGGTTGCAACGTTTTCTTCAAGAATCAACAAAAGAACGTTCTCTATGAAAATTGCTGTACATTTCCTCTGAAACATTACATTGACCGATCCTCCTGCGTATACATTCACAAAATCAAACTTATCACTGCCCCTCAGCATGTTCAGCATTCCTTAAACTGGTTCAATGAATCCTCAACAAGCCGGAACTTGCTTCGTTTCCCGATTGCAAGAAACAATTCCATGAGCAAATCGCCTTTATTCCTAGCATACCAATTATGGGATTCTCTTCCTCAGCAATTAAAGTCCAGCAACACCCTCAATGCGTTTTTAAGCTTGATAAATATACACGTACGTCGATCTTCATTAAATTTTACTAATCATTGACTTTCATTCTCTTTGTGTATTACTTCAAGCTCCAAAGTAAATCACATATGCTACCTGTACAATTGATTTTGGTTTTGGATTGATTTTTATAATTGATTTTGGTTTTGGATTGATTTACTTTTATTTCATTTTCATTTAACTTGCCATATTTTGCGTGTGCACTTTTGCCTTCTTGTTCTTTTATACCATGGCTGGTAGCCCTCATTCATAATATTGGTTGACACCATGTCATCCATGAATTGAGAATAATAATAATAAAAACGCAAGCCTTTGCAAAACCCTACCTTCCATTAATTATTGCTCACCTAAAAGTTGAATTGCTTTCCTGCATTCCCAGGGGGGATAAAGAAGAACACTTTTATGTCACCCTCTGGTTGTAAGCGATGTCCGGCGCTTTTCCATAGCGACCCCCACAGGGACTAACCAACGTAACTGTTCTGTAGCAATCACCACAGTGAACCGGTGGTCAAGCTAGTTGCAGGACCGTGCAAGGCACCTGAGTGGCGAACAATGCACACAGAATCCACTCACCTGCGCGTCCAGAGCTATCCCACTTCTCGACATCAAGTCTCAGTTGCCAGCATGACAGCAGCCCATCAACCACGAGATGATTGATGACAGGATGACAGCCTCTCTTCAGTTAAACAAAGCGAAACGGAAAAAGGAAAGAGAAAGGCAGCAAATTTGTCACGTGAAACCTATCAGCAACAACAACCCACGAATCCATGGAGAAAAATACTGAGAATGGTGAGGTTCTGCTATACATGAAAACGTAGAGAAATCACGTTGCGAGCAGGTGTCTGGGTTAGAGACTACGGTTTCGCGTGTTTTGGGTCAGATTTCTACGCAGAGTTGAGGTTCTCTACGCTGTGGCTCCCGCAAAGAAGATGCGTACGCATCTGCTGGGTATCACTTAAATGCAGGCTGAAACCTGCCAAATTTGGAAGGGGAAATTCCCAGTGAACGTAGAGCAGAATTGGTTCCCTTTGCGTTATGGGAACACTCTTCGTGTTTCCAGGATTCTTCTCGTCACATTCCCGTAACGTAGAGCAGAACATCGCTAATGCCAAGAGTCCATAATCCCCCCCCCCCCCCCAAGTGTGCAGCTGGGATGGGGCTGTGGGACGGCGTAATCCGTGATGTATGTCATTTTTTGGGTCGGACATGCGTCAGTCCGTCGATGCAGTCCACCACAAACACACTTCCCTTACTCATGATATTATCACACTATGACATGCAACACGGATTTCGCCGCCCCAGGTCTGATCAGTGACAGTGGCGGGTTTAGGGGGGGGGGGGGGGCGCGCGCCCCCCCCCCCCCTCAAAAATTTCGACCTAGGTTTCGAAAAATAATACAGGGCGCCGGGTCGAGCTAGACTAGGCTAGTCGGGGCGAGCGCGGCCTGAAACGATTGTCCAAAAGCGGTTGCACGGTGCGGTGCTCGAGCTGGTGTTGATTGAACACACTACAGACTAGTACAGTACAGTCTACAGAGTAGAGTCTACGTACAGTGACTGAGTGAGCATGCACGGCTACAGAAACACGGTGACCTGACTGTGTACTGACTGTTGTACAGTGTGATCCCTGCTGGGACGCGCTCGACGCGTCTTCAACGGTACAAACATCG